AGTTAGATTTGGCTGAATTTGAAATTGCCACTCTTTCCTCGGTATACGAAAGTACTGAAAACGGAGGGGCTTAGCACCAAATGGAGCATGTTTAATCTCCGTTCAAACACCCTGCAAAAGCGTAACGGCACCTAGACTATCTATTACCTCAAAATCTGAAGTGACCCTGTAACTAAAAACCGTGATATTCAAGGTGTTGACGAAATCACTTGCAGCTTGCGTTTAACATATTTATTGACCCCTGAACATTCTGGATGAAATTTGACGGTTCAGTGAGTGGAATCATTCACAAAGTATTGTATCGCACCTGTAACATAGCCGCGCACACAGTGGTACATGACTTTTTTTGTAAACTTTGAAATCATGAGTTTGGCTGAGCAGGTGTCTTGGCAAACAGATGTACCAGTTGAGTGATCATGCTTGTGAAGTTAAAAAAAAGCGGAACTCGAAAGGTATGAGAAGGCATCGTCCAACTTGTTTGGATCCATATATGAGCGCATAGTTCACACACATGCGTTGCAAGTAATTCATTGTGGTCTAATCAATTAAAGCCGATTTTTGATGTCCCAGTCAGTCATTATCGTCGAAAGCATAACATCAGTGCTCAACACGGATGTTTGGCTAACGCACAGCAATGAATTAGTTGACAGCGTTATTGTGAGGAAGAGAATATAAGTGCACGGGGAAGGGTCTTAGTACTAGCTTACTACAATCATTTCGAGGTGAATAAGTGTCCAAACACTCATTTAGACAATCTGGATAGAAACTAACAACAAGAACGCCACTGAAATTGGTTGGCAGTCATAAGTTGCAGTGTCTTAATCAGACAGTGTTCTGAAAGAAAGTTTCAAATAGGAGACTAAAGGACCTAAAAAGATGGCTTTCCATGACCGCATTAGGGATGCTTCCAGGGTTTCCTTCTGCTCCCATCCCCGTCGCCAATGTTGCCCGCATTAGGGATGCTTCCAGGGTTTCCTTTTGCTCCCATCCCCGTCGCCAATGTTGTGCCCCGGATGATTGACCGGATAGGTTTACATCGGACCGCCAAGAATATGAGTAAGCTGTCAAAACATCAGCCACCTATCACAAACCCAAGTAATTTGAACGGAAACGGTCATTCCAACAGGCGAAACTTTGAGGAGGTTGCCGGAAGCAAGCGTTCGACCGTGAGATGAAATATACCTCAGAAAAACAACTCTTTCTTCAGTGAATTTAGAGGATAGTATGGTATGGAGCCAAGTTTATCCCAGTTGTTGCTATCAGAATTATCTCTAAAAAAAATCCAGACATGATATATCAGAAAAGATCATCTTAGATGAGTCAAAAAATTACGACAAAAAGGGTCTTCCGGACCCGACGGATGTCGAGGATTATGTATGTCACCAGAGATATCCAGCACCATAATCTCCGGAGAGCATTGGAATAACACGGTATCGATCGTACCCCAGGATTTTCCATAAATTCATCCTATTTATCACATGACTTGCTAA